AAGTATCTTATATCTAAGCCATCTCACCTTATTAGAAAGATACTTATAAAATCTCTTACAAATAGTATATTGAAATAATTGATTAAAAAATTGAATATTCGGACTGATTCCTCCAACGAGACTCAATCTCCTCGTTCACTCCTCAGTTCATTCTTTCTCGTTTGCTCCGGATACCCGCAGAACACAGGTACACGCACTTGTACACTACCACATACACATACACATAAACAATTACACAAGAGACACGAGCAAATGCAGTGTTCAGATACCATGAAAAGCCACCCTGTAGATCGGAATCTCGCATAGTACTAAACAGATTGTAATAACACGTAACTAAAGCTTTCCGTAACGATATTAATAAAAAGAATTGAGCGAAAGGGTAACGAGAGAACAAGAGCGAGAAACCATAGAGAGAGAGAGAGAAAAATCGTGTGCTTGAGAGTGCGAGAAAATGTGAGATAGATAGAAACGAAAAAATATAAAAACGAAAAAAAAAAGAAATGAATTACACACACACAGAAAAGAGAAAGATGAACGAAGAACCTACGAGTTGTTATGTTTTCTACAGTAACGTTTGTACCGACTTACAACAATATTTGTACAATATACGATAAATGAAAATGATACGACGTACCTATACAACATAGGTTACAACCAAATGCAATAACTTTTTTAAACGGTATTACCAAGCCGGGATATTTTTCATACTTGTAACGGGAATCGCGCGGAAGACCGGCGACGACGGTGGACCGTCGCCACGGTCCGCGCCGGATGTCCGCACGATACAACAACGTTTCGTTTTTCTGTGCCAACCAGAGTTTTAGATTTTTTGCTTTGCAGATGTGTGAACTCGACGAGCCGCAACAATCCGTGCGGCTTTATGAAATAAAAAAAGATACCGATTTTACGCCCGTGCCGTTTCCTAAAACTTACATTCCAAGCACACCTCGACACCCAGCACTGACGTCCAATCGCTTGATTATCGAGTTAATTGATAGAGTGTAGAGACGAAAAAGATGAGACATTGTTAACGCTCGTAGCTAGTTTTTGCCTCGATCGCCTTCGTTAGAAATTAATCGAAATCGATCCTGTTTTAGGGTCGCCAGAAGACGAGGCTTCGCGCGGGACGCACTTTCGTTCGCGATTCTTTTTTTTAATTTTGTGATATGTTGGGAAAAGTGGAGGAATCAATGGGAAATTGATTGAGTGTTGTTTTGTATACTGATCAGTAAATTGTGGGTGGTTTTGCAAATATATTTCTTTTTATAGTTTCTCTCTCTCTAAATGATTTAAACCATATTTTGCAAATTTTATATATTCTGAATAATTCAATTTACTTATATATTTTTTATATACTATAAATGCATAAACATCTGACAGTCTACTGATTGGTTATATTATTATGGCAGGTTTTGGATTTTTTTAGAAAATTAACGTGAAGAATTTGGAATATTAGTTTCTTTAATTAATTTTTTTACTTTGGTATTTTTGAAAATTGAAAATTAAGAACTTGTTTTGAACTTAATTGTTGTTGAAGGTATGCAAAAAACTCATCGTTTTGAAGGCAATTTTCTCATTAATATTTTAATTAAAATGTTTTCTATCATTATATATTATTTTTTACCAATTTCCAGATTATTGAAATCATGTTACAATTATTTAATTTTGCATAGATGATTCAAGATTTTGCATACCCTTAATAATAATCTTAAAATTTTTCTCTTATAATTAAACGGCAAAAATATATAACTGAAAGTAATTATTTGCTGTATATATAATTTTCTTTAGTATCATTCTGTTTTTATGATAACTAAAAAAAGAATTTTGCTTTATTTTATAGTTGAGTGATTAATAGTTCTTAATCATACTTTTCCATCATAACAAGAGTGAGCCTGTAAACTTAGAATCAGTGTAATCTAAGATCATGCAAGTTCTCCGACGCGCACAACGTTTCTCGAAGTAAATTCGAAAAGGTCGCGAAGATGATGGAAGCTAAATGTTTAAAGGATTTATCTGGCTGTACGTGTCCCGGTTCGTTTCTCAGACAGTTGACAAGTTCTTTTCGACGAAACGATTCTCCAGGACGTGAAATGTGACGAGAGCAGCATCACGTACGATTTACGTAAATGTTCCGACGGGTCTTATGAATAATCTTCGTTCTGTTAGTCGTGATTCAAATTTCATCGAGAAACTTCATTATGATAATGATTTGATTCATTGAAACAAAATTTTTCCATCAAAACATTTCCATTTGAGGATAATTCAGAATTCCTAGAATATTTTGTTTGTATTATGAATGTAACTCAACTAATTTTAATAAGTAGGTAATATTATTCCTTTTTATTTTTTTTTTTTTTTTTTTTTTAAATTAATTAGGATAGGCTAATTTTGCTTAGAAGATAAAAAGAAAATACTAAATTCCAAATATTTTCAAAAGTAGCTTAAAAAATGAAAAATGATAGATATTGAAAAGTAATAGGTAAATACCTATTTTTAAATAGATATTTTTAATATTTTAATATTTTTGGGAAATCCTGTGGGCTCTATCATACTTCCAATGGTACAAAATGACCAGCATACTAATTAAAAATTTATTTTCTCATACTTCGACATAAACGTCAATGACAACCAAGATGAACAAAGATTTTATAATAAAAATTGAATAACAATATCGTCAATTTCACGAACACCCGATGCATACGAAGCATAGGCATGACTCTAGCACGACCTTGCTGATCTTAGATATCACCGGGCTTGATAAGACACGTACATGGATTATCAAGGCACGATCATCATGACACGAATGGGAAACAGTAAACGCGAACGATATTCAGTGCGTCTCGTTTTCGCAATTCGCTCCTGCTGCGAACTGTCGTACCGAAATGACCGATCGATCAATAAGATCGACGGATTCGAGACGGCAGTGTCGACGATGGACGAAAGAAAAATGGTGCTCCGAAAGCTTCTGCGTTATGTCTGTCTGGCGTTCGTTGTATACTCGCGGATTCTATCGTCTCCGGATGTTAAGAACGAGAAGAAAGGAAGCATGGCGAAGGTGAGAAACGTATGTCCACGCGTTGTCAGAAGCGACAGCTCCTCGAGAACAAAGAGGACGTAGGAATATCCCGAAAGCTCTCGTGCACACCAAGTCGCCACTCGAGAACATGTCCCTCGAATACGATTTCTCAAACAACACAAAGAGACAAAAAAATTTGTGCGAGAATGCGTGAATATTTTGCTGTTTGTCGAAGTAAACGAAGTTTCAGAACGTTCGAACAAAACGGTTGGAACACGTTCGATGGAGTGGTTTGGACCTTTCATCGGGATGTTTGTACCATCCGACGTGTTTCAACGTGCAACGGCGTGCGTGTATGAGTGTTTGAGAAGGTTTGTTAAACAATCGTCGTCGGTAGACCGACGATGTTTGAGATGGTTGTACCAGGTGCACGAATACTCCAGGGTCTCGACGCGAAAAATATCCGAGAAAAGACTTTTTGTCCGTAACTGTCACCACGTTGACACGCGTTCTGATCATTATGGGTACTACGCCTTGTTTCGTGTAAAATGACGTTTTTTCTTTCGGTTCTTAGGCGAACGAATGCATATCATAGTTGTAAATTAACGATTTGTGAAATAAAAGCTGCAAACTGTTTGTGTTAACAATAGGTCATTGAACCCTGACGTCTGATTTCTGATGTCTCCTGTCCGATCGTTTGCTGATGGAACTATTATAACGCTTGCTTTTCCAATATTCTGTTAGGTTGTTGCATATCAATCTGATGGTTTAAAATTAAAAGAATTTAAAATGGGTGATTCAGGAAACAAGGATTCACGAATTGTTTTTGAAAAAATTTTCATTAGAATATTGCTCAGCAAATGTGACTGAGAATTTAATAAAAAATTATTAAAATTTTAATCAAATATTATATATTACAGGTCTAATTCAAATAAGCTTTCCTAATAAACTAAAATTGATAATTTTAAATAATTTGTAATTTTATAAAATATAGACCTTTGTAACACGTTTCTATCAATTAATAATATTTTTATAATTATTGAAAATCTTGTGAGTAAGATGCTCATTCCATCTGCAACAACCTAATATTTTGTAATGAATTGCTTTTCTTTCTATAAATTTTTTTTTTTAATATTATTTATTCAACGAAGATGAATTAAAGTTTTTTTTTATTTATACGCTTTTACGTAACATCAGAGTATATTATATCACTATCTCGGTGTTCGTGTTAAGGATGATAAAACGAAGAAATGATTTGCGTACACAATACGCAGAAATATGCGGTAAGTTTTTTCTATTATTGAAACAAAATCTTTTTCTCTATTGTAGCTCTAAAATCGCATGCTGTTTTATAATTTCCCATGCAATTAGAAATTTAAACTATATTTTGAGTATATTTATTCGCTTACTTTTCTATATTTTGTGATTGCCAAAACGGCTATTTATTCAAAGCAGCAATGTTACAAAAAAATTTCACATTATACATATGTTCCTTCAAACATTAAAAAAAAACCACCTTAAAAGTACCTATATTTCCTTGTTCTATAATTCACGTCTAAAACACTTTCAACACATTCGTTGCCATCTAAAAATCATCATGGACGTACTGTATGACACTGATTAACCCTTTGAACTCAATTCGTTTTCAACACTGTAAGCATATATTTATTTTAAATCAAATTAAGTAAATTAATGTACAACGGTAAAGTGTAATACTTTTTATTAAAAAAAGAAAAGAGAAACATTGTAAATTTTGCAACAAAATTTACAATGAGTCATGTTCAATATCGCATACCAATTCAAAGAATTAGACACTAATCAAAATAGTATCAACCTTTCATATTATGACACACAGGATTTTACCCCCATACGTCTGCAATGCTTTGAAGTTGGCAGCAAACGTGTTAAAAACACATCATGAACAAAGTCGATTCGCCCCGTATCTCTCAATCAGATTCCATCTAAGAAACCGCAATCATTTCAGGTGTCCCTGGCCCTCGGTTTGGAGGCAGGTGGTTGGGGTGCCTTGGTGGAGCGTTCCGGTGGTGGCAGCGGCGGAAGCGGTTCGCTGTTAGGTCACGGTGGTTTCGCCGGATTGGCGGGCCTGGCGCGTCGCTGCGGCGTATGTCTGGCTGCGTTTCCTTCCGCCTGGTTGCTGGAACGGCACGCGTTGCTTCAGCATGCCGGCCAAGCGAGCGACGACAAGCCGTTCACCTGCGAGCAGTGCGGCCAGCGTTACCGCTACCGGTCCGCTTACGTGAAGCACCGGGAGCAGAACCATCGGGCACGGCTGCCGGCGGACAAGCTGTTCACCTGCGACGTGTGCGGGATGCAGTTCAGGTATCTCAAGTCCTTCAAGAAGCACAGGTTGAACCACGCTCTGGAGCGACTCCAGCGTGCCCCGGAGCCCCAGAGCAGCGCGATGGTGGTGTCCGCCGCCGCTGAACGGAGCGACCAGGTATCCAGCACCGGAGAGCCCTCCCAGGTGGAGACGGGCAGCGACACGACCACCAATCCCGGAGAAGAGGAAACTCGTGGACCGTTCGCGGAAAACGCTCGCGAGGAAAGCGTGTCGGAGACAGCCAGCCTGCAGGAGAACCCCGGAGAGGCCGTCGAGGTGCAGATGACCGAGGCGCCAGCTGGACACGGCGGACGTTCGGCCGGCGGTGGTAGCACCAGCGAGGTTGGCGAGGCGGACGACAACGCGATGGACGACGATCGGTCCGAAGCGACCGACCCGGTGATCAGCCTGGCACGCAGCAGCCACGAAGTGGACAGGCGCGAGCGTCGCTTCGCCTGCCCCTTTTGCGGTAAGTGCGTCAGGTCCAAAGAGAACCTGAAGCTTCACGTACGTAAGCACACGGGCGAACGACCGTTCGTCTGTCTCTTCTGCGGCCGCGCTTTCGGCGGTAAAAGCGACCTCACCAGACATCTCCGTATCCACACCGGGGAAAGACCGTACCACTGCGAAATGTGCGGCAAATGCTTCGCCAGGGCGGACTATCTGTCCAAACACCTCACAACTCATATACACCAACGCTAAGTAATGCGGCTCCGTAATGACGTTCTTCGATATTCTTGACGCTTGTTGGCGCGTCCTTCCTCCTCGATGCTCGATTAATTTAGAAGACACAATGCGGTCGGAAATTAGGATAACGTTGAGGCAATAGGCTCTAAAAGGCCAGGGCATTCTTAAACGTGAAAATATGTGTCGTAGTGAATTTATTGAAAGGGCCAAGTCCTTGCCTCCTTGCACGCGATATTCTACCACCGCATTGGTTATTGAAGAAAAGATGTTAATTCTTGAAGAGGATGTTCCAAATTGTTTCCCAGAGCAATGACACAAAGCGAATTAACTTTCTGAAGTATCCTGTCGAAGACACTGCGATTCGTCTTCGAATTAGCTTTACGGAGACACAGATTTTGCAATGTTAACATTTTTAGTTATTATAGGGAGACACCTGATCGTGACCTCTCTTTGACCTGATACTTCAGGATGGTTAACGATGAATTATTTCCATACAACGACGTAGTTATGAATCTTTTCAATCGTTGCTCGATGGAACACTCTTCTGGTGTATCTATGAAAACAAAGTAGACGAAGCATCGCGTGATCGTGATTAAGGGAAGTCATTAAAAGGGACGCGCAAAACAAGTGGAAGAACGTCAATGTATGGAAAGATGACTTTCGAAGACGCATGAATTTTCTCCAGAATCACCAAATTCCTTTTGAAATGATGCTTCGGAAAATCTCAGAATACACTTTGTTCTGGAGAGGATGCAGTCTTCGGATCCATCTTTCCGAGTTTGTTGAACTTTCAATTTCCTGCGAGTTCTTTCCTCTCGTGCAAGAATGAGATGAGAATACATAAAGAGAGGAAGAACGTTCGAAAGGGAAGCTGGAAAGGGGAGAACCGCGTATCCATCCAGCTATTGGCCCACCAAGAAGACGAGTCAATTACGGAGAAAAAGGGAAACGAAGTAATCGTCGACGACGATGCCTGTCGGCGGACCTCGAAGAGAGTCTCACTCGTCTGTTCCCACGAAAACACTCCTGACACACTCGTAAAACGATGAACGAAGAGAAACTATACTAAAGAAAAGAAGATTTCTACATTAGTGAGACTAAGTTGTGATAAGGACTCGATACCAAAGAACGCAACGACGCGATGGACGAAAGTCGCCGGTGACGGCTCCATTTTGTTGTCTTCTTCGTCTTAGTGCGCCGTAGATATACGGTGCATATCGTTAATAGCTGTCAGTGTACTCGATGCGATTTTTATATAGTGCACGCGATAACGATCAGTTTTCTATATGCCATGCAGTCTCGTCGCTTGGGAAGAATGTTTTAGTCGAATTTTAAATTAACACCTTGATTGCCATGGAAGATGATTAAAAAATTCTGAATACTATTAAAATTACGCTAGCAATTCAAAATAACAAGCTGCAGTATTACTATCTTTATTAATCTATATTATCGTGTGCCAAATTAGGCATAGGTGGTTCTCCTATGGCAATCAATGTGTTAATTAATTAATATTTAAATGCCTAATTTATCCCAAATTTATGCAAAATTATTTAATATTCTGTGAACTGACCAACGATTACCAAATGGTAATTACTATCTTGATTTCGAATTATGAAATTATAAATCAGTTTCTATTATTCCAGCAGGAAATCTTTGCCAGAAGGTGTACAATATGAACACCCCCAGTTACCCAACTTATTTGCATAAATAGAGTTGTGCTATTTTCACCAGTGAAAAACTCAATAGTAAGAAACGTCTGAGAACCCTAATTTCGTGTCAAAAAGACCTTCTCCCAAGCGTTCTAACGACGTGTTGAACGTTGGCATCGAACGAAGGATAGGTTCCTTCCGGGAAGCGTTGCCGGTGCCTTCGAACCCCTCGTATATCCTTTTTAAACGCGACCTAGCAATAAAGCGTATTTCTCGTTCCAATCGTGTGTCCGTCACGTAGAACGAACTAAGGCTCGTCGTTAACCCTTTCGCTCTGAATAATAATAATCGTCCAACATTTGCATTTGAAAATAATATAACAGTTCGAGGTGGAAACGAAATTATTTCATTGAGTTAGATAATTTAATAGGAAAATTATACGAGCACACTCTCCTGAAGGGATGATCGTAGCGAAAGGGTTAAAGAGCCATGAACTAGCGTCTTGTTGCACGGTCCATACAGTCCTTCCAACCTCTTCTTAGCCACTGTCCATTCTGCTATCTACATGTGTATATATTATATATGTATATGTATGTCCCTGATACGTGTACGCATCTTATACATAGATACATCGATAACGATGCACTGTCCAAGTAAATGCGCGAGCGCAAAACGAGAGTGCCGGCTCATTCTCTTCGGTACTGGTCTCCTAAGGAAGGTCCGTTTTCTTTTTCGAGAAATCCAATGTCCATTAGTCGTTTCAAGTATTAGGCTGTTTCTCGTTAGACGTTACACGTTGATCGTGATAGAGCTTGGTCAACAACTTCCGGCCCTCTGGTCAGTGTTCGCGAGCGAACGGCTCTCGTCGTGGTTTAATTATTCGTCGACTGTTAACCCTTTCCCTATTTAACGGTGACTATAGTGATTGGTGTTTAAATACTAAAGGTAATTATAGTCGTTTCAAAAAGTAATAAAGTGATGAATTGAGACATGTAATAGATACATATAATGAATTATTGTCGTTTTGTTAGTTTTTCAAAATTTTATATTTTTTGTGGAAAACAGCAAATAATTACTTTTTTTCTTTTATTTTATGTTTTAATAGAATTCCTTGATTTTGTTATAGAGAAAGGGTTAATTGTTTTCTAACGAAGAATATAGAGATTGATCCCCAGGATCGATGATTAACATTCGACGCGTTATTCCGTCTTTTAAAATAGACATTAAATAAAGATAAGCGATGAGATTTACAGCAACTATTGCAAACGTGCCGTCCCAGTGCCAAGTCTCAAGTTTACTTTCGTGAAAGTTACCGCATAGCTTGCGTCGATTTTTCGTCGCCCTGGTGATCGATCGATCAATTAATTAGATAGCGATCTAAATCTACGAGGAACGATGACACCGTTCGATCACAAACAAATGAATAATTTACTCAACGAAATGTTTTGTGATCGTCGCCGAATTGCGAAAGTTGAGTGAATCAAAGATTATTCTACGTTTTATTTTTGTATACAAACGTTGGTCTCGCTGTGATTTCTTGATCGTTGCTCAAAGTTGAAACCGAGAGTGAGAATTATTGGAAACATTGTTTTTTGCCCTTTGTACTTGATTTGGTGAGGATAGACGTAAAGGAAACAATCTTTCAATTTTCAGTTTAGTATTTTAATATAATATTAATTTGTAACAAAATTTATTTTCATTTTTCTATTAATAATGATTAAATGATGCTATGGTAGTTATCATTTTAACATTTGTTTTTCGCATCTTCTATTAATTGCAAAATTATTAATTTATAATATAAATATTAAGGAACATTTTTTTTTACTAAATATTTTATAAATTTATATCATTTTCATTTGGCCTTTAAATTTATATTAATAGAGAATTCTTTGTCAGCTCAGTTATTCAGTAGTATAAAATATAATAAGTCAGACCTCAGAGTCAAGTTAAATATATAATTTTTAAATGAAAAGATTTCATATAATGGAAGAATAATTTTTAAAGGAACAGTGTAAAATGTAGAAGATTATAATAATATGAAACAGAAAATTAAATTAAATTCTTAGTGCAATTATCCTATGGAGTACAAAGGGCCAAAGGTTTCCAATCGTCCATGGTTTCGTGTCGAGTCCAAGTTGACCCATCACCCGCATAAATCCTCAAAGTTCACCGGAACCGTAGCTTCCGGGAACGCGCCACGTTACGTTAGATTGCTCACTTCCGCCAGAAACGAACGATACAAATAACCAAAGAAGAATATCTCCCGAAACGAGAAACAGCAAACGTGACATCGAAACGAGACTAAACCCTTAGGAGTCCAGCTACCCGATGTCCGTCAGAAACGTTTAGTCCTTAGCTAATAATTCGCGATGCACTTGCTGCTCTGTGTACCCGCGTTCGCGAAACGAATTCGAATAACGAAGGTGCTAACTATGAAATTAAGGTTGATTCGCAGTCTGCTGGCCAAAATGAAGAAAAAAAAAAAAAAATAAAGAAGAAAAGAGGAGAACCGCTCAAGGAAGATAAACGGTGCCAAAGAAAGACTAATTAAAAAAAAATAGAAACTTCCTCGTGATGGTGGTAGCGCAAGAAAAGAAGAAAGGATGAAGAGGATTCACTCAAGCCTGTCAGATGCTGCGATAGGTCAGGTTAGTCTATAATTACTTATATAGTCTTGTCGATTAAAAGTGTAAGTTTTAAACGACGAATGCAGGCGAAATTAAGTTGATTTAAAACAAAGAAAAGAAAAAAAAAAAATTATTAAGCGAACATGTCCAACGAATGTCAACGAGTTTCACACAAGCAAACAAAACGAACAAGCAGACGAAGAGAAATACACACGTAGAGGTGCGTAGTGAAGGAAGGGGTGGGAACAAAAAAAAAAAAAAAAAAAGAAAAAAACTATAGAGAAGAGAAGAAACAAACGGCGAGACTTTTAATTTACGCCGGGTTTGTCCAGCGTGTGCTCGAAACGTCGCGTTCGGACAGGATCTCGTTTCGTGTCCGTCTCGCCGTGATCCAGCGCGTGATTAACGATCCAAGGATTAAGGAAAATAGTTCCATGACGCCTGATGCCTCTGTTAGCTTTTATACGGCAACCATGTCCGCCCACTGCCGCTCCATTTCCACTGTACGCCAGATTTACTGCGTTATGGACGGCCAAGGGAAGCTGCAAATCGTTCTGTCACTGAAAGACCGACTGTGCTTGACGTTTCCTGCTACGATGTGTACGCTCGAACGTGCTTCGAGAATCGTTCCACGTTCCCAGAAACAAACCCTGAAACTTGTAGCCGTGATCCTTGCGTTTTTGCCCTCTTCCGTTCACTTATATGTGCCATTGCTCAAAGGTATTTGTCTAGGAATGCTTAGCTTAGAGTCTATATGGGAATTCTTAGAGTGGACTTAAGTTCAAAATTAGTAAGCTTCAAAAAATTTCAAAATTAAATATATAAAATGTGTAGAAATATTTTTTGGAACCAAGAACAGTGTTTTTGTATTTAATATGGAATAGGACTATATAATTTTTTTAAATATCTCAAAATCTGGTTTCTGGACTATTACTTTTATTTAATTTGACGATTTAATTCTAAATAAAGTATTAAAGGTCAAATAAGAAATTTTAGGATGAGGATTTGTTCACTTTAAATAATTTATGGAATCCCACTTCTGGCCTTTGATTTTAAGTCCTAGTTTTCAGTTTTAGATTCTAAGAGGACTCAAGGTCCTCTATAAATTATTTTCTGATACCAGTTTTAACCTGAAAGCCTTAACTTATTAACAGCATCATTGCCACAGTAGAAATATTCGTATTTAGTCAGACACAGTATGCTATGGATTATCAATCCTTCCTTGGATTTGTGAACTTGATTTCGTGGGCGGTTTCCTAAATGGTTCATTATTTAAAGGGTAAAAAATTAATTTATCAAAAGGAAACTAATTTAACAAATTCCATAATGAATTTTCATTAATTTGAAATAAAAGGAGGAAGGCTTAAACTCTAACAATAAGCTTTAAAAAAAGAAATGTTTTTAAAAAGACAAATACTTTTGAGCAATGGTGTACGTCTTGCACCCTATAGATTTTTTAATAAATTTTCTAAGCTTTTTAGTCAAATTTCTAATTGAAGGATTTAGAAGACTAGAAGAAACTATATTCTTCATTGCTAATATAGGAAAGGATAACAGATGTTAAAAATCGCGATCGTTTAAGGATGTTCGTCTGTTTTGCAGTTAACAGTGCTGTGTTAAGAATCTTCATTTTTATCTGTGATATTGATGTTTGAAGGAGGAGGAAGATTCCAATTAATTTGAGTATGACAACTTATGATCGCGATTCTTGTATTCTATCCTTAGTTAGAGTGGTTCAAATGTGATTGTTTCTTGGTTTTAGAAATGGAATAGTTAATAGTTTGCCTAATGATGATTTAATATTAGAATTCTGAAGATTGCAATTAATTGAATAATGCTGTCGGGAATCTTGAATATAATATTAGTGTTTTGAAGGGTGAGGAATGATTCGTTTCTTTTTTAGTAAAATTTTTACTATTCAGTATTAAAAATTTAAATCAATTCATTAGAAATTAATTACTACGCTGTTAGGACTGTAATACGTTTTGGGTTTTGTTGAAAATATTTTATTGTAAAAGGAATAACAAATTTAAAAAATTAGAATTGGTAAATAGAATTCGTTTAATTGTAATTAAATTTCTTTATTTTCTTTTACTTTGTGAGTTTTTAAGCGAGCTCTAGAATCACTCCCAAATACAAAAGCAAAGGAAAAATAGAAAGTTTATTTATCTTTTTTTGAAAATAAGTATTATAATGAGAATCTTTCTTCTATTATTTATGATACTATGAACTACTTATGAGAAAAGAATATTTGATTTAGAATATTCATAATTTTAATTAAAAGAACAACTACTACGGCATAAAACGAAGTTCCTTTATTTACATTTATAACAAAAAAGATACTATAATATTTTTAATCTGTGATATTGCTACTTCGAATAAGAAAGTGTTTTTCAAGATGTCTTAAATTTACATACATCTTACGAATCATAAAACTAACTATTAAGATGGGTAAATGATTTAAAGCAATGTTAAACATCGACTAATTACAATCTTTAATTTGATTAATTACCATTAAAAGAAATTAGTCGTGAAAAATCGATCAATGAAATGAGTCGTTAATTGTTAATTACTAATATTCATCGTTAATTATTAATTGTTAGTAGATTTTAGCCAAAATAGTACGGTTTTCTTTTTTTAACATATGATATCAGAAACAGTGTTTGTTTAACGCATTCGTGTATTCTGTTGGAATGATGGATGAATGGTTAGATTCAGCCGTAAAGCTTGAAAAATGAACTTGAAGCTTCTTTTCCAACAGGTATTTATCTTTATTCGTCGTTCGATCATTCCTTGATAGGGAAAGAAAAAGAACACGTTGGTTACGAAAATTGACACGCAAAACGATGTTATATCGGCAAATATTTTCAGGAAACAGTTCGACAAATGTTTGGATAAAGTAGGAATTGACAAGGGGATACACATCGTAATAATAAGCGGAATAAATAAAAGCTCTTCGCGCGTAAAATGGGAAAACAGCTTGAAAATTGTACGATAAAATGAATATCGAGGGAAACGCGTGTTTCTGGTTGCCGGAAACAGGTATTGCGGATCAAATGTTAGCCCGAAAACTGTTCAATCGAAACACTCGATTACCGAGACAAATATAGCTAATAAATATTCAGTGGTCATTGTGTTACTAAATATATACATCATGTGTAATATTATATATTACATCTATCTTCACAGCTGAAAAAGCCTGAAATGAGTATAAAAGCAAATACAACGAATTATTAACTTAATATTTTTTTATTGTAAATTTTAAACGTAACTACAGGGTTTTCCAATAAGGCCTTTAGGTTTGTTTATAATACTTTAATTTAAAGAATTTAAAAATGCTTTTGACTTTTTCTTCATCATTGTAAAATTTTTAAATTTAAAAATTCCAGAATTCCAAAATTTCAGGTTTCAGAATTTCAACTTGTAAAATTCAATTTTTATAAATAGATTTCGTCGACTATAGGATCACATTGTAATGATTTTCTATTATTGTACTATTGGAGAACTCTCTATTTAGTTTACTCTAGAAATACACTGATGTTCCTGAGAAAATGCTTTCTCAGAGACTACTGAAAGCCTCATTCGAATCTCCTGATTATTTCCAAACAGAAAGAAACTGTCTTACCCATTCTCATTCAGCAAATAGTATAATTTTATACAATATACATTTGATGGCCTCGTTAATTTATTACAATAGAAAATGAATAGATTTCTGTAATTAAATTTTTTGGATCAAACGCGAATTGTTGATCTGTACATATATATTTTTTACATACGCAACCAGTGATACTAACAGCCTATAGTGATATTTTATTACAAACACTGACTCGAATATATTAGTTAGACTTCATCACAAGGTGAAAGTTTCATTTACTGTGATAACGCAATAATTAGTACAAGATAGATAATAGAAGAACAAAGGGGTTGTAGTTTCTATAAATTCAATTTATTTCCTTTGCAATAAACAGTAACAATTTTTATTTATTTACCAAGGAAAAAAATATAATTCAAATAGGATAACGTATTTCTATCAGAAAAAAAGCTAGTCCTTTGAACGAGAAAAATATAAAAGACGAGAGTCTGCTCGCACTTTTCCAATTTTCCAAATCACAGAGTTAAAACTACTCTTGTAACCACTCGAGCTCGCCACGCTCCGAAATCTGGGAAGCAATTTTTTAACCGATCCACACGACCCGGAAAATGAAAACTCACAAAGATTCTTTCGATAACTGCTCTATGATGGTATAGTAAAACCTTCATATTCGAAAGAGAAATGTATTTTACGATAGCAGGGGTGTGGTAAATAAAAACGTGGGTTTCAAAGATACTGGATGAAAGAGAATCAGTTAAGGTTTTTTAAAGGTGAAAAATTCTAGTTCCTATTGTTAGGCAATTATTATTTTCCTTAATTTTTATTTCTCAATTATTTACACAAAACCATCTGTCACAGATTCTCTTAGTGTGAAGGTTCTCTAAGTATGTTTTTCAAATATTTAACATCAACCTCACCCTTCAACAGTTGATCTCCTCCACTTTTTATTTTATAAAATCAATCAACTTCCAAAGAATTTTCTATAACAATTTCTTCGAATCTCAAGTTCTAGAATGGCTACGAATATCTATAATTTCTATCATAAGAACGGGGAAATAAGGGTGCGTCGATATCGAGAAATAATGCATCGGGTGCTCGTTTTAAGTTCACCCGAATTTACGTCGGATTCCAGGAATCAATTAATTGTGACGAGGCGCACGTATGCACGTGTGCATAAGAGACGATAGAAAGAGAAGGAGGGAGGTAGACAGTGGTAGAGGGGAGAGAAGGAGCGTGTGACTCTGCATCACGTTAGTTCGCGTGATAGCCAGCCGTCTTTCAATCGAAGTCAGTAAAACGTACCTCCGAAATGTGCACGGCATAATATATTCAACGCGATTGTGTCCCGGCACAAAGGGATTACTTTCGCGTTGCACGTGCAACCGGCAAGGGTTTTCCGATCGCGCTCATCGCGGCCTTCGCGAGCGTGTTCAAGAACGTTATTAACACATTGGCTGTCATGGGGTTTACCAATTACGCTATAAAATAAATCTGACACATTTTTTTTCCATAAGATTCATTTGGAAATTTAAATCATAAATTTAGGGAAAAGGATTACAGAAAGGGGTGCAATTACAAAGTACAAGTTTCTCAACTTAAATTTATAATGCAATTTGAAAATAGAAAAGAATGAAGCAAGATTGTCAAATATTTAAATTTTGTTTAACACGAGTGATCAAAGCTACGAGTTAAAATTAATCAAAATTGCACCCCTTATTAAAAATTGTAAAGTAATTAAATTAAAATCTTAACACTTGACGCTTTTAATAATTCATATTACAGTGTGGCGCACCAAACATAGGTATTTCTACTGTGACAGTCAACGTATTAAAAGGCTGAAGAAAGGGGTGTAAGCAAATTTTTCCGTCATACGTCCACCAACGAATATATCCGCGTGATATTTTTTTATAGTTTACCTACGAGTGATATATTTATATTTACGGATATATTTATGCCGTGCGATCCGTCTGTTTTATGGCCTAGGAAGAGGAAGGGGTGTAGCCCGGTGAACACGCTCGAGACCGCGAGGCGATTGCATGATGGGCGTTGTTAAGGGTTGAAATTTGGCGTTCGATAAAGGATTTAATATTCAGAGATATATTACTTTATATTCTTTATTATACTAAATTCTAAATAATAACAGTAATAGCAATTTTTTATCTAAAAAGATTATTAAATATCAAAGAGTGCACCCTTTACAAGTAATTATTAAATAAATTAAATTTCATTAAATTTACAGTTATCAAAGTATATTAATAATGAAAATTTCTTTTATTTTGAATATTCTTAATTATTTAAATTAACTGACAAAGGTGAATGCAACCCTCGCCATAAAATCAACCGCCTCGAATCGGTTTCGATGCAAAACGTCAACCCCTAAACGCGAACTCTAATCGTGAGAATTAATTCTAACGCAAAGCGATTCGGAGAATTCTAAGCGGTGGTGGCGGACGATCGTGTTAATCACATTAGAAACGAGACAGTCTGATTTATCCTCTAAAAGATACCGTACACAGAACTGCAAAAGGATCCTCTTGGCCAGGCGTTATGGAATAGATTGGGCATTTTAAACCACGTTTAAAAAAAATTAGCTACCTATACAACACCAAGTAATATATATAGTATATATAAATATATATATACAGATTCTAATCGTGTATATATATATATGAAAATATATTTAATGAATGTTCCTATATTTATACTATAAGTACATAATAAGTGTATTATATTGATATTCGATGGCGATTTCAGGTTTTTACCAAGCAACAAGGAAAAAAAAAATTAAATGTCTGTTTAGGTAGTAGCCACTATCGGGTTAATTTAATTGAATTCGGAAGAGAGCGAGGAGGGGAGAGAGTGAGATAAAGAGTGATAGATAGAGGAGATAGGAAAAGAATGAGCAAAGTGAATGGCGAAAAGAGAATCAGAGATAAAAGAGTATAAGGTATTACGAAATTAAGGAAATTTCGAAGGATTCGTGAAGGGGTTGAAATTAGGCGAGGGTCGATTCGAAAGGGTTTGCGTGTGTTGGTGACGAGGCGAGGGTCTTCCTATACTGACTGAACGATCAGATGTGATATATGCATAAGGATTAATTAATAATTATTTACTCCAATCGTATATATATATGTAATTAATATTATTAATATGGTTATGATATACAAACATTATATCTATATATATTGTGTATAGGTAGATAGGAACATATACAATGTTTTTAACTGGTTTATCTATGTTCCGAGGATATATGCTAAGTGTATTTAGGTAGAATGTTGTAAGAAGGTCTCTCGCCGTTAATGTTTAATCGATAGAGACCACTGTGAGTGATTTAAGTCGCGATGAAACAGACCCTCGTGACGAAAATGCGATTATCGATCATACATACATTTCTTGTTGGGGTTGTTTTAGCTTCACAAAAAATAGGATCCTTTTGTAGAATATTTCCAATAATTAAAGATCCCTCTTTTCGTTGAAGGCTTTAAATTCGGAATAAAAATGAAGAATACTTATTATGTGGTATTCGTTACTAAGTTTTTAATAAAATTTAGAAAAATAAAATTAATTTTATTCTAATTGACATGCACTAATGCTAAGTAACATGTTATTCAGTAATAATTGGAAAAATAATTTTCGAAGTTGAAGTTCGAAATTTTAAGCTTACAGTATTTTAATTAACGTATGAGAGTAATAAAAATGATGTCTTCATTAATTTCAGTATTTCTTTTCACAATAAATGTTCAAAAATTTCACAAAATATAAGGTTTTTAAAGAAAGGTCTTAGGATGTTTATTGATAATTTATATGTAACAAAACACACTTTAATTTAAAAAATTGAAAATTGTATATAAGCAATTATATTTGAAAAACAATATCAGTTAAATAACCACTACAAATTTTTTAGTAACAAGCTAAAGATGCCATCAGAAAACCTAGTAGTATAAACCAATGATATATGAGACTTACTTGATCTTCAAGCTCCAAATCAATAAAATATAATTGCAGCCTTTCTTCCTTGAAATATAATTTTAATAAAAATAAAAAATGTATAAAATTCAAAGAAGATCAACTCAGAATAGCTTGAAAACATTATAAGCCCTTAAAACACCGTGTATTAGAAAATCCAGTAGTATAAACCAATAATATATGAAACCTACATGATTTCAATTTTCATTTAGACGTCAAGTGTAACTATGTTCATTTTTCCTAGAATATATTAAACAAATTTCACAGTTTTTTCCCCAAATAAGTTCTGATCCCCAAATTTCAATCACGTTTCCATAAAACTTAAAAAGGATCGGCTCGTTTCAGTTTCGTGACTAGGGTCAGTTGATCGCAGAACCACGACGAAAAACCGTGGTTTTATAGAAAGAGAAGCAGAAACAATTGCGAAGTGTTTCGAGTTTATGCGTTCCGTGCAATAACAGTTTGCTCAATCCTCGGTGTCCGTCGGTCCGTCCGTACGGAACGACTACTCGTAGGTTTAAAAAAAAAATAAAAAAAAAACGAAACACACGTTACACGACACAGATACACTTAAAACGTGCACACAACGATACACACACGTGTGTAGAGAAACAACAGAATTAGTAGTTAACTAAGTAGCCAGAATGTAACTTTCTCGAACATAACTAGCCGAAAGGGAAAAGAAAAATCTTTAATCTCCTATTTCAAAACCTTCCTTCGAGTCTCTCGATGTCTTTTGGTGTCTATTCTTTAAGAAATTTAAGCGAAAAAAAACTATATATACAAAAAAAAAATGCGGACAATTTCAGCGTGTTTAGCTTCGTCTGTGTAATAGCACGATGTTTCCAGCCAAAGATACAAAGAAAAATGTAAAAAAAATTGTGGAACCATACGTGAACATACCTTACAATGCATTCGTACGTGATTGTAAAACATTACCACCTTCACCATTTTTTTTTTTTTCAAGATTTCAGGGTGTTACCTTGAATTATTGAATCGGGTGAAAATTAAAGGGTTTGTACGCGCGATGGTTCCCGAGCTATTTCGGCAAAATTAATCGTAGGTGTGTTTTAGAAATTTTCCTAATCTTCTCTCGACTTCTCTCGTTATCCTAGCAATAATAAACGACAATGGCTAGATCTGTTTTCCCCTCTAAAAAATCTGAAAAAAAAAGAAGAGATCTCTGAAAGAAAATAGAGGGGGCAAACAGATAACCCCAACGAAATTTACTCGCCTCTAACCTTGTACCCACCCCGTTTTCGTCCTGGTAGAAGAAAAGAAAAAACTCACCCCCCTTTTATCGAAGCTTTAAACGAAAGTCGATTTTGCAATCATACTCAGCCGGACATTGAAGAGGGATGAAAGTGATGAATGAAAGGGCGAATAAATTGCACAGATCTCGTTGGTCGTACTGTCGTAATTGTTTGTCGTACCTATTGTTAGATATTAATTATTGTAAACGTAAATAATTAGAGTTAATTGAAGAATTAAGGGGGATGGCCGCGCCGGTGCACCACTGTTCCAAATGGCCATTTGATGGAACGATGGTGAACGCGGCGCCGCCTCCGACAACGTGGATGTTAGAGATATTTTTCAACTTATACTAAATGTGATAAACCGATGAATTGACAATGAGCAATCTAATTGTAATATATATATATATACATAAACATTATATTATATATTATATATTATATATATATATTATAAATATATGTCTGTCGTACAAGCCGTGAATAGGTTTTACCGTAACTAGTTACGTGTTAGCTTAATTAATTGTACACGCGATTGTCGCCGTGTACGTACAAGCGAGGGGAGGCTTGGACAAACAAAGAAAATAGGCAAACCAGAAAAACAGTGGTGATAGTATCGCACGCCGTCTCGAAATCTGTCCATGAACTTTTCCATTGACGCTGGTCGCTGATTTTGGGCTAAGCTCGAAAATACGAATTAATTAATTGATTGGTTAATTAATCATCGTCGGGACAGTCTGGCCTTATGGCATTCAAATTTTAGCGCATACTATATTTTTCATTCGCAAGCAGTTTATTATGAATAAAAATATATAAATTTAATTTTGCAAGGGTCGAATCTGACTCTACAATGGTACTCGAGGGTTAAATTTTTAATCACTCGGGATACCCTTTCTTTTAAACAAAATAATATTGTATTTCAGAATTATTTTCTGAAAATACAAATAATATGACTCTTGCAAAATTCTGTATTTTACAATATAATTTTAAAAATTGACAATGATGAAATTTAAATAATTTTCTTCTTGCATATCTACCACTAAACGTAATTTTTCATACGCCGATCAACGTCAAGCAAATATTATAAAAGATAAAGAAAATTGCAAGTTCTTTCTTCCAATATATTGCAATATATTGCTTCCTAAACGAAAACTGCCAGCAAGAATGCCAACAGCCCTGTTCACGACGACCGTGTTCGATCTAGTATAAAATAGCCGTCGATCATTATGGATCGATGATCGATCGATCACCTACGAAGCGGCGTGTAAAAAATTGTAATTCTAACGTCACGGTAACCCGCGTCAATGGCATGCTTTAAAAAGAGAAGAATAAAAAAATTAAAAAAAAAAAAAAAGATACACCACACGAGGGAAAAGTAACGACGGGGATAAAAAAGTACTACTGTGTAAAGAAAGAAAAGTGGTAAGGATACACTATTACCGGTACATTATTATATACATTGTAACCAATTGTTGTCTACGATATAATGTTATTTTTCTAATTCATATTCAATTGTTATCGTTGAGAGCGAGAGGGAGAGAGAGGGTGAGAGAAAGAATGAAAGAGAGACAAAAACACGAGGGCACACACAAGAGAATTTTAGGGACGTGAATTATGTAAGTTGATCTTTCTTTTTATTCTTCTTTCCAACTTTCCTCCTGATGAAACACTTCCGATATGGTCGCCATTTGATTCGATCGTTTGTTCCCTGCACCCTCATGATTCTCATTTTTCTTTATATTAATCATTATATTTTTTTAAATGGGTATTAAGGGGGCTAGTTGATTTAAATTGTAATAATTAGCACAATTGTTATTAACGATTTGAAAATTTCTGAAAAATTCTTTACAAATATAACATAATTTATTAATTTGTTTATCACATCAGATTTTGGTTCAAAATCACATCTTAGATTCGTTAGATTAATTTAGTATTTTTATATTGTGATTGTAATTTATGAAAAATTATAAAGTAGATATAATACAAGTAAAAGTTAATGAGTATTAAATTGAAACATAAATTACTAATTGCTTGGAGGACAACAAATTATTTTAATATGAACTCAATGAATTAAATCCAGCGAGGCAACATATTTATTTAATGCGGAATCGGTGAACATATCATTGACAAATTGACAAGTTATGTTTCGATTGCCACTAATAACTGCAATATCCGTCGTGGAAACGTTCAATAACATCGATAATTATTTCACAGCAAACCGACAAATATGTTATTTTAAAATTGTTTCCACTTCGTTCATGTATTATTAAGCAAAGATAATTTAAAACGTATGTGTATCAAATGTACCATCAAACCTTGGAAGCTCCATTTTATTATTTTAAATATGGCTACGATATATTTCAGGACACAAATGCAAAATTAAAAGAAAAGAAATGAAATTAAAAGGACGGCCTGACCAATTATTGATATTACTACTAGCAATCCATATTTATTACAATCACAATACCTGGAAGACTCAAATATCTCATAAATTACTTATAACACACATATTCATATAAAAATATTGATTTGACTAGTTTTGATATCGAAAGTTTATGAAACTTCGTCTGCTATATTTAATGCTGTACTACTTAAATTCGTGTAACTCAATTCTTTGTATCCAATCTTAAAAGTATAGTACGACTAATTTGGAAATAAATTTATAATAAATTAAGTAATGATTTTGCAACATAATAAGTACACATAGAACAAAATATTAGTTTAATATTCTTTATAATATAGCCTGAACAGGACCAGAATATTGGTCAACACGTTGCTGATATAAAAAGCAGTGTGAAATTGTTTCCAAATTAACTGCACTATATCAGATTGGATACAAAGAATTATAAAATGTAATCAGACACAGGTCATTCAAAATTAGGGCAAGTAGCTTGACATCTGAATATACACTTTGGACCAAAAGTCACAAAACTTTTCATAAAGGCCTAAGAAAATGTTTTTTTGATGGTATTCTATTTTTGTATTTTATAAAATTAGCTACTTGTTGATAACAACCTTTTATCTATCTATCTTAAATACTACTTTTACTATTTTTAGGGATTTTAACAGTTAATTTTGTTATAATTTCATATAAACTAAGTCAAAATAACAAATTATTAAAATTCTTGTGACTTTTAAAAGAAAGTGTTCCATTAAGTCTAAAATTTTAGGGGGTGCAGCGTGAACAACGATCGACGAATCGATGACCGATCAATACTGATCGATAGATCAGCTCTTTGACCCCTTCTTCTCCCCTAATCCCTCTCCAAACCCTAAGCTTTCGTAGACGGATGACGCATAGCGAAACAAAAGCGTTAGCAACGCGTAATTAGCAGCAAGCGCTAATGTCGGGCGGCGCGCTGGTCTGTGATAAAGAGAAAAAAAAGAAGAAAATGAAAAAAAAAAACATAAAGTCGCGGACGCGTATTGTATTTTTTGTAAGGCTCATTCGTGCCAGATTTGTGATAGCCAAGTCCGCGGCATCCTCGATTAAATGAACGATGATGATGGGCCGGCGTGCCACCTGCGAAGAGAAAATATGAAAATGAACAAAAAATTGACTATGAATGAAGGGTGGCTTGATTTCTTTTAAATGATCTTCGACGATTTTCTATTCCTTAGGAAGAAATCCTTCCATTTTGTGTCCAGGCAATTTTTCTTATTAAAAGTTTTTCGATGTTGAATTCTTTTTTATATATTGAATTTGTTTTTGTAATGTGGATCACAAGAAGCAAGGAATGCAGTAATTATATAGTAATTATCTGAATTACAATGGTTATCAGTGATTAAGTCACTCACTAAGGCAAACTCATTAACTTTGAAAAATGCAAATTACAGAAAATTGATTTTGTTTTTTTAATTTCTCTTTTTACTAATTTTTCTAAAAATGATAATTTGGAAAATTCTATGTAAATTCAAAATTCAATGAAAGTACTAGTATATTCAATATAAAGTTAATTAATTTGGCTACTAAGAGTTTTATTTTTATATACGAAATACAATTCATATTACAAAGGGTGCAGAGTTTGCTTTATATTTTTAAAAATTATTATAATCTTGTTAATTATGTTGATAATCTAAAATTCTTTTATAACAAGTATTTGAATATAATTGATATTAAGGGTCAGTTTAATATTCTGTGACAATAAATATAACGAGTTGAATTATAGTTAATTCAGTAGGGTAAAAGCAAGGAGAATATGAAGTGAATTTGTAAATCTGACACAAACATATTCTTTCTTAATATATCAATTATTATATATTTTAAATATTAGAATATAAAAATTTCTTTTAAAATAATTTGTAATAATTTTGATGCATATTTTAAACTCATCTCACAATTTAGTTGTAATAATTATTTCTAATTAAAAATTTACTGAAATCTGAAAAAGAATAATACTTTTTTTGAAACTATGTTTCATAAATTTTATATTACAAATTATAGAAATGATTTCAGAATTTTATAAATGAAGTGGTAACAAGGGGATAGAGTAATACGAAGTAATGCAATGTAAAGTTGTACAATATAAGCTCAATTTTTACAAAGAATATAAAACAAAGCATAGATTCATTTATATTTATACAATCTACATTTATTGAAAGAATATTTTACACAAATATGTTACAAACACCATATACAATTTTTTCTGTGATATTGCGTTTAGAAGCTAGTCACATTAATTATTATATTAATGATAAAACCAATAATAGGACTGATGCAGATTATCCAAATAAAATAATAAAATGATATTAAGATTTAGGAGTATGTAACATTTGCTGAAAGCCTCACCAGATAACAATTTTATTTTCAATAAAATATCTAAAAGAAATTATTTACACCTAATTAAAATGAATGACAGCTCACTCTAGAAATTAGTAGAGATGATCGTGAAAGTATCTAAACCTTGAAATGTAAATTTTATTTTGTAAAACTTAATTATCACAGTCCATAAATGAAAATACTATGAAAAAATCATAGATAAAGGTACTATTCATATATATAATAAAATACTGAATTGTCCAAAACTCTGCATCTTTCAATACAAAAAGAAATGTCTCTTAAGTTTAATTAACAAAATATTTTTAACGTATCAATTGTATTAGACATAAATGGAAGGAACATTTCTCCATAATAGATAAATAAAGAAAAGAAAATCGTCACAGGTATAATAGTTGAAATGTTAATTTCCAGCTAGTGAAACTAGCATGAAGAGGAAGCCTAAGTTTGCTAATTGTAAGTAACACGCCGCGTTTCCGGTTACTTTGAGAAATCCCCGTGAAACGAGATTAAACTAAGAATCGGTGCGGGGGCGTGTACCAACACTCGCTCGCTCGCGTGTGTCTACGTGTGTACGTGAGTGTGTACGAACGTATGTTGTTGTTGAATCTGGTATCCAGGATGCCAAAGATGTATAAGTCATGTAATAAAGTTGTGGCTAAGATATTAATGGTAACGTGAAATGATAACGATGAGCAACGGTGATAATCGTTATTACTATCTTGTAACGTTTAATGTATATCAGTGTCGTGCAAAGAAAAAAGAAAAAAAAAATTTGAGCGGCTGAGCTCCTCGGTGTTGTGGGTATACATACTCGTTCCTAGCAACTCGTATGACAATTACTACTCGATACACTACTCATAACATTGCATTGATCTACTTTACTCTACGTACTTCAAAGATAAATAAATACATTCTGTCCAATCTCATCTGGTGGCATCTTTATTTTCATACACATCCCTGGATACAATCAGGTATGAAATTTAGAACTCTTTTTAATCTTAATTTTTCATACTTAATATTTCATTTTAAGTATTTAGAATTTCTAATACTTAGAACTTTTGATATCTAATTCCTTATATTTAAAATATTTAATATTTAGAATTCTTAATACGTAGAATTTTCAATATTTAATTTTTAATATTTAATTCACAGTATTTAGAACTTTTAATATTTAATTCTTAATATATAGAATGTTAACTGTTAATATTTACTTAGAACTTTTGATACAATTTACTAATGCAATAAATATCAATTCAAATTCTTCTGCGCAACCGTTTATGCGCAAGTGGTGGGGAGCCACAGATCTATATATACGCGGGGCCTCCTTCCCTCAATCGTCATTCTCCTTAGGAACGCCTAAGGAGGAAGGTGGGGAGAGCCCCGGGAGGAGAGCCCTACGATGAGGGCCAGGAACCCCACAATTCGGGGAATCCTCAAGGGGAGGTTGGTAATCCAGGAACCTGGGAAAGCCTTCCAGGTGAAAGAAAAGCTTTTCCTGAGGAAGCCTTCCATGCTCGGTACTGTACAATATAATTGTCTTTATTAATATTTTTATTTTCTTAACTTTTTTTTTTAATTCAGGGGGAAATGAATAACAATCGTACAAAAGAAGCAATCACTTTATTACTTTTTCAACGATTCATACAAATTTCAGTATACCTTCTGTATATTTATTTACCATATTTTTCTTTACAGTTTCACATTTATATTTCGCATTTTGGACTTCGATACGTCTCGATACATCGAGTATCGGTATTCTTGTCAATATTCGCTTCAAATATGTCATGGTACGGAGTATTTTTAAATCTATTTAATCTCTGAACAAACGCTTCCACTTTTATTGTACACACACTCTGTTCCCTTCTCTTTTTATTCTTTTTACTCTCCCTATTTTTGTCAATCTCATATTTATGAAACGCGTTTCTCGTACACGCACTGAATTTTACGTGACATCCGAAAGAACAATAAAAAAATTCAAGAGACAAATGCAATACAATGCTTTCTATATCGAGTACGATTTCTCTTAATTACAATAACTAGCGAAAGCTGCCTAAAAACTAAAGAAAAAGCCTATCGTTACAACTTCTTCGACAGAAGATCAATATTTTTTTATTGTTACGTTGTTAATTGTTGTCCTATGTCGTTAATAAAGTATGCACGATATAGTTTAACGTGGCCCAGTCCACGTTGAATTTTCTTCGTTTTTTTTCTGTACATATGTATACGTGTATTCTTTTTCTGTTTTAGTTAAAATTTATTTTAAAACGCGATAAAAGTCGATTATTTGTGAGACATATTTTAGACGGACGTTACACACACTTTTGAAATGTGTTGATTATTATCTTTTCTTAATGGAATGATATGTTTTCTTCTTTTCAAATGTGATAAGAATTTTTTAAGGTGGTACAGAGATTTATTTAACCTATTTACAGAGATCAGTTGTTCATAAAAAAGATTAATTTCTATTGTAAATTAGTGAAATTGATTCAGTTAGTAGTCTGACTATGGAGCAAGTAGTATCGCTCCCTTTATGGTCAGACATCAGCCTGACTGATCATTGTGTCCCTTTTCTCCTTATTAATTCTACATAAACCTTTGAAGATAGAATTGCATCTCAATTTTTAGGAAGTAATTTCTGTGATTCAGTATAAAATACAAAAATACAAAAATCTGTTGTAAATACAAAAATTCTATTCTATATTAAAATGAAACTGCATTCCTATAATTGTAATACTGAACAATTAATCTAAAATTAAAATAATTAAATGTTAATTATATATTTCCCTATTTTTGTTAACACAATAATAATTATTTTGGAAAATTTCAGATCTTTAATAGCATTATCGATCTATTGCACAGGTTCTAGTCCTTAAAATATTATTTCAAAAATAAGCCTCAAAAAAGTGACACCCAGTCTTTGATAAAGACAACAAAGAAGACAGTCAGGATTCTATAGATAGACAAATAACAAAACTGGAAAAAAAAGAATAATATACTTCAATCAACTCATAGATTCACTTGTACCAATTTATTTAAAACTTTGATTACTATACCTCAATCAATTTACAGATTCACTAGTACCAATCTATTGAAAACGTTGATTGCCATAGTACAAATATCTATATTTGAATAATTTCAAGGATATTAAAGTATATTTTTAAAATCGTGTGCCAGTAAATTTGTTAATAATTCTAAAAATTATTTTTTAATATAAATATGGAAAACTCCATGACAGTCAGTATATTTAAAAAATTAGAAAATAATTTGTGAACCTAATGCTTCTATTTATTATTTAGAATTGTCAGGGTAATTATACTAGTATTCAGATCATTTTAATTAATTTAATTCATAGCACCTTTATATCATTTAGTATTTTAAAATATCTTATTAATTATCGCTGTGTAGCTTTGAAAATCGTACGTGTACCATCCGTCTAAAATACTTACTTGAATCATAAAACTTTACCTCAACCTAGTGTGTGACTATTCAGAAAAGTGACTAGCTTAGAATTATGATTATAGATCAGTATCTATTGTCCTAAACAACGATCTGTACCATTGTATTGCTGTACACCTTTTTTCATTATTTTCAACGAAAGATCAGTTAGAGGGTGAATTATCAAACTCTTTCGTGACTGTACAATCGTAACTGTGTGCGTAAGTACTTCCGGTTGTCTGGACCACGTCTACACACGGAAGTTAAAAAGTCTTTGAGATACATAACAACTGTTCGTAGAAATTCTATGATACACAAAGTGTCCGGAAATAAGAATCGCATGAGAATAAATATGAAACAAATTTCTTCATTGTTTTAGTTTATAAAAGGTTCTTCTACTGTCTTTTAATAATTCTTTCTAATATCTTTTCTAAATTTTTGTTAAATTATGAATAAGAAATCAAACGAAAACAATTTTTATTGTGGTAATTAATTTCTTACTATTCCTAAATACCTTCAAATTTTTAAAAATTGATAAAATATTTTAAGTAGTGATATTAAATCTAATTTTACTATAATTGAATTTTATTATACTAGTAAGAAAAAGAAAAAAATGAACTCTGAATAAATTTATCAATATAGATTTTTTTACAATTATCTCATGCAATTCTTATCAAAAAACACTATTATAGAAAGGGACCTCTAAAAATTCTTCAAAAAATACATCAGAACAGTTCTTTCTGGGGTAAAATCGGAATGCTGAGAAAATGCCAATGAAATATCGCAAAGTGTATGATTTTTTAAATATCCTTGGAAATTCGTGGAAAATTGATCTTGAAAAATTCTTCATGTAATGTTAGAAAAATTTAGAAAAACTCTCGAGATCTACTTGCATGAATTTTACCAACAAACCGGATAATAAAAGCCTTAAAATTTAAAAATAGGAAGAATTCGAAAGATCATAGCTCTCCAATGATTTTCTAGAAATTGTAAAATAATGCAAAGCTAAAATATAACTAATAACAGAAAAAGTATCCCTGCAAACAAAGTATGAAAATCAGGCAACAAAACTAAAAAAATTAAAGAATTTTTCAAAATCCATTCCAAGCTCCAAAATTTTCTCTACAATTATTTCTCATCGGCGATATGATATGACGAAACAACTGCCTGACGATAAATCCTTTCTATAAAATTACAATTACTCTTCGATTAAAAAAAAAAAGAAATTAATAGTAAACTAATTCACGAGTGAATCGCGTCAATGAAAATTGTATTTTTTGAAACAAAGCGTGGAAGCCAAGTCATGTTTAAAACAATATTCCTTTCTCTATTTCTATAATTAAAAACCTTCATCGATGGTCTAGTAAATTGCGGCAGTGACACGTGTCGAGTTAATTAACAATGTTATCATCTACGGATACGGAGCTGTCCAACTAAACGACTGTTCTAAGGTACAATTGTTTATAATTATTTTCATCTGGACAGTATATATAATATATATATATACACGTACATATATTTTTAAAACGTTACACTTTCTCTAATATCTCCATTTCAAATTCAACAATTCCATCGTTAAAATTCTATGTTCATTCTTCGTTCAATATACATCTTATTTTTTGGCACCTACGTGAAAAGAAAATTTGAAAGATCCTCACGAGGTATAAAGTTGGACAGCCTTGCGTTTAGATTCTAATGACAGTACATTCTAAACGGGGAATATTATTTTTTTTAATAAAAATTCTGCTCTGTTTCGATCAGAAATTAATTAGAAATTGACTTAATATAGTGACACAGACACCTCGAGCTTAACAATAATTTTGTTCGATTTCGCTGCTTTTATCAATGATACTAATGATACGCTATACTTGCAAAGATAAGCGAATAACAATTTAGAAGACATCATGTTTAATCGATGGCTTGGCTGATCGCGTGACTCTTACTTAATGAACAGTCGACTTAAAAAATATGTATATTAGATAATAGACGAACTTCTAGTTAAATTGCACTAATGTAATTCGATAGTAGCTGCGCGCAAATGACTACGAATAAATGCAACAAAAACATGAAGAAATAATGAATAAAGCTGGATAATGTAACAACTAGACTTTAGGCTATAATGTGTTAGCACGTTATCGCTCGTAGCACGCTCGAACGTAAATCACTTTTCCAATAAAATTAGTGGTTCGGGGTCGAATCGTACGAGATCTCTGCTACAAGTTCTTTCTTTTAAACTTATTGCATTTGTTAGCTTTGAAAAAATAATTCCTGTAAAAGATGGTGATAGTTTGTTTCAATTGATTGGAAAAATGAATAACTTATCGAATAATAATAAACTATTCAGTTATTTTGTTTGTAACGTTATATAAAATGTTTTTGATCTAATGGGGTGAATCTACGTGAAAAACTGAATCGAAAGTGTAGAGTAACATCTTTTTGTACAAGGCTGCATTTCTGAATAAACCAATGTTAAATTAATAAAATTTTTAAAAAACCGCCATCGCGGAAAAAATTCAGCGCCATCTACTGTCTGGTGCTAAAAATTAGTTTTTTTATTCTACCAATAGAGAGCGCAAAAAATACACCAATTTATAGTTCTTTTCATCAACACCAGATGGTACTTTTCCCTATAGTGGCGCCACATGTTTTTTCCGCTTTGGTGATTATTTTAAAATATAGAAACATAGAGTCCGCTAACTCTGAAATACCCTGCTGTATATTAAAAATTGTTTAAAACTGAAAAAATGAAAGCTTATAGGAATTAGTTTTCCAATGGTATTGATGAATGCAACAAGTTTGAAAAATATCGACAAAAATAGTAATAAACCTCTAATACGTTCGAACGTTTAGATATATCATAGATTAAAGATTATGTATCGTTATTGCAATACATACCTTTAAGACGATTACAACGATACATTTGGATGAATAATTTATATTGTCGTGCCGGATAGTTTCGAAGAACATAACAAAACACTAATGGATCACAAAAAAAAACTAATGGTTTATTCCCATACGGGTTGTCAGAACTGAACTTGTGGCGCCACTTGCAGTATTTGATGAAGTTTCCCGCCATTTTTATCCGTCGCATAATTATGATATATTAATGATTCACGAGCGCGAGGATGATCAACGCGACTACAAAGCCTAAACCGACAGTTCCAAGAGTGATAAACTCAAACAAGGCCATCTAGACCTGTGGGTTCATGAATAATAATTCTCTTATTGTTGCCCCTATTGACCGCTCAATATTGGGCGAACGACACGACTGTAGGTCAATGACCAATACAATTCCAACGATGCAATAGAACGTTAGAGTTATGGTTATTGAGCCCATGCAATGTGTTAAAGGCGTTCATGATACTAGCCGGCACAACAATATGTATAAACAAAGAAGGAAGGATTTCTCAATAAAAATTAATAAAAAAATAATGATATAGTGGATACTAACTACAATCGAACCTTTAACTCTTCCATTCTTTGCCGTATTCTTCGCCGCATTTCTTTGTATCTGAAAAATAGAAAAAAAACAATACTGTAATATTATAGGATTAATTATTAAAAATTGTATACATTTTTAAGAGGACATACTTTTCTTTTAATAAAAGAATCTGACGCTCTTCCTCGTAATGATAACGCTGCAGAATACCGTGACACTCCGCCAAAGAGAGATTAAGAAACTGCGCAACGTCAGAGCTAATTTCCGGTGTCGAAAGTTTATCTACTAAAAAGAGCCGTGCAACGTTTTCATGTGGACCCAATACGACACGAACCTCCAAAGGATATTCGTCATCTCGCAATCTTCTTTGTTCTATAAAAATAAAACAACCATTTATGAATGGTGCTTCCTGAGTAAAATAATTAATTCAACTCACCGCCGTTATCACGAACTACAAACAAAGCAAAGTTGTCTGGTTTCGCATCCACTTTATATTTATCTAACATTAGATTGATAACTTCTTGAGTATTCACTAAACTGGTAATCCACACGGACATTTGTGACCCATGCGGCGGAGTGAAGAAACTGGTTTCTCGGTTGTAGAAGTGTCCATTGATCGAACAACGACGCCGTAATCGGCTTCGAGATTGTCGTCGACCTCCAGGACGACGTCGGATAGCTGTAGATCCTTGTTTTCGTCGCAAAACAACGCCATCCAGCTAAAATACATCACAAATATGTACAATGAAAAGATAAGGTATACAGAATAATTATTAAATACCTCTAAACCACTGTCGGTGGACATCGTCATGTTATCATCTTCCCTGAACTGAAGTGAATTCACAGAATCTGTATCGCTATCAGTTCGATGTCTCTGAAGACAATCAGGCCCGGACATCGAACGATTTAATCCTTTTTCTATCCAACTATCGTCGGTGCTGATAGTTCTATTACCAGACATATTTTTCTCCAGACTATCAAAATATTCTACCCTTCGAAGCGTCCCGTTCCGATTTGGTGTGCCATGGTAAACAGGTGTGTCAGTACTGGATGAGCTACCTATACTATGCGTTGGTGTACTAGTTACACTGCTGTCGTTGCCACGATGGTTTGGGCTATTCGCCTCTGAATTTTCACGAGAATCAGATCTATCCAAACTGGATTGGGAGGAAAGCGGTGCATCGGAACTAGTCTGTGAACTAATAGATGGTAGATTCTCAGGCATTGTTTGGTATAATTTATTTCCATCTTCAACTTTGCGTTCAACCTGAAAAAATTGAATTTCCAAAATATAAAAAAGTAGCAGACGTGTTTACAGTGGCGGCTTGTAGCTAAAATTAGTAGGGATGCTGCTCCAGAAAATTTGTAGCATTTGTTTTAAAAAATCGGCACTACGGGAGCGACAGTGCTCTCGCTCTCCCGCGCAGCCTCGCGCGCAGCTTCTTATGTGCGCATGCGTACGCAGTCAAACACCACGCCGCTGGAACTGTGAAGCGCACAGTTCCATACAAAGATTTCTGTATCTTTTTCATAAACTGGGGGGATAGCTACTGACATTAAGCTTAAGGATTATATATTGTACAAGTATAAAGAAAGAATTAAAGAAAAATGAACTCATTATATTAAATGTTAGCGATAATATCGAGTGGAAATAGGGGGTGCTGCAGTTCCACAGTGCTTATACGCGAGCCGCCACTGCGTGTTTATGTAAAACAATCGATATACAACCTGAAGAAGCTCATCTAATTCATCCCATTCCATGTTCTTAACATCTAGTTTCATTGGTAAAGTGAGACTCTTAAGATGATCAGGAGAAGTTGGGACAGATTTTGCTTCAGTTTCAACATCTTGCTCAACTGTATCCTTCTCTGAATTCTCCTCTTTTTCTTCATCTTCTATACTCTGTTTTAAGAATTTAGAAAATGTGAGAACTTGCAAAGTTTTTTCAGCAAGTTTGTGAGATAATAATAAATACAAACATCGGAAACACTACGTCTGCATGAATTTCGATTCCGTGCTGTGACTACCGTACGTTGATCATCGTCCTCTTTTAAATGAATTACTCCGCGAACACCCCAATAAATTCGAAGCGCCCCTTCCAGTATCAATCTTCCATTAACCTGTGAAAAATAACTGTCTTATTACTTTGCATTTTCTTTAATACAAACGTGTGATGGAAATTTCATTCACCTCGCGACTTCTTATTCCGCCGCTTTTGCCTTCATAATATTGGTTGAACACTTTCAGTTTGGATTCCAAGTGTGACCTAAATATAATAAAATTCTATTAATGTAAAACATTTAATAAATATTGTTAACATAAAATTTCAAATTTCATACCTAGGTAACGAAGGTCGAGCTTCCTTCTTTCCAAAACTGGTATGTGATTCAACTCTTGTTCCATGACCAAACAATTGTGGTCCAAAAAGAGCTCCATAACATGGTACATGACAGTATGGTACACCTTTGTGCTATGTAATATTATATAAGAAATAACTTAGATTTTGTTATTTAATCAATTAATTATAATAGAAAAACATTTAAAACATATATTGTAACTTTATTTTTAAACATGCTAATGAGCTTTTAATACAGTGTTAATAGTTCTACAAGAAATATTATTGCACCTCTGCATGTTGGCCTGGATTTAAACGTTTCCCACATTCTTCACAGCGTAAACATTCTGGATGCCAATCATATCCCAATGATTGTTTACGTTCAGCTAAAAACACATATTTCTTTAAATGTTTTATTAATAAACAAGTATCTGTATATTTTTACAAATTACATCTGTTCCATCTCTAAAAACTGGTCTAAACTTATCTTTTTTAAAGCATTAGGTACATTAAAGAAACTTTGTTTCAATATAATAAATGCTGATAATAATTGTTTTTTTTTAAATTAGAAAAATAATTTCTCGGTTTGTAATAAACTATTTAATAGACAAATTGAGAAATTGATAACGAAAAAAATAGAGAAATTGATAACGAAATAATATTTGTATGAAAGAAAAACATATCACGTAAATGAATAATAAATGAATTTAATTCATAGTAATGACAGGAAACGGTACTTGTCAAAATCAGTACGCCTTTTTAACATTGGAACTAACCGAAGTATACTGGTTTCCCACATTTATGGCACTTCCACATGACGGCGGACACTCGTAAGCTCCATAAAATAATCAGAATTAACTCTTGCAAAATTTTAATCCATTTTGTTTATACTATATAAATAGGCACATTGAAAATGACATGCGTGTTAATTAAAGATGTTAGTAGTAAGGCAACCTTCGCTGAATAATGAATAGTTCCTGTTCGGGTTCGAAAACCTATCAAGCACTTGACTTACATTTTCTTGCTAGAATTATACAGTATGTAGTTGAAAGAAAACTATAGAAAACAGTGTACCATTCGTTCATGTCATGTTTTATTAATAACTTTAATAAGATTCAGCACGAAGCAGTAGTTATAATGCCAAACCTGGTTGTTAATGTAATTTATTGAATTCTGTTTCATCAAATATAATACTGGTATTGTGTCCTTTCTCAATATTCGTTCCATGAAAAGAGGCATAAAGGTGCATTTAATAAGTACAACGGAAATTTCGTAGGCAACCGGCTTTTTGAAACTTCAAATGCATGTGCCGACTGTATTTTGATAGTGACAAGTATTTCAAGATTCAAAATGTACAAGATAGATAATCAGTTAGTGTAAATTTTATATTGCCAAAGACACAAGTATTTATGGACTATTTGTAAAATTTTTCAAGGAAGCACATTGTGATACTTTATTAAGAACCTGAAGGTTAACCATTTCAAATAAACAAGATGATGCAGATGAACAAAAAAGGATGCAAAGAATTGTTGATGCAGAGGATGTTCTTAGCTATCATCAGCAGTATAATTATGCAATTCTTCCTCGTGTGTTGTTTACTTTTAATTACAAATATGAACATGGATTATACATCATGGATCCAAAATACATGGGCAACAGTAACCTCATTTAGAATGTGGAGTTATTTTTGTGTTCTTGCCATTGTTACATTTTTTCAAGGAATCATCTGTAGCAAAAATTATTCAAATACTCCACCTTACCTGAAAAGCAGATTTATAAAATTCTATGGAATATTCACATCTCAGAACCTTTTATTAGGTACTCTGTATATTATAATTGGTGGCCTCCTTGTTTGGCTACATTTGTCACTTAAAGGAGGCGCTTACAAATTTTTAACAACAGAATGTAAAATAATCTATGGGACTTGTTTAATAGAAAAACATTACTTTCTCTTTATAAGTGGACTGTGGAGTGGATTATACTTTTTCTTGAAAACTAGTATTTTCCATGTGAAGTACTTAAAATTTCCTATTATATCTCTATCAAAATTCTCTCAGTTTAAGAGAGAAGTATGTTCATTGCTCCCATCATTAATGGCAACCTCTGTATGGCCAACTTTGTATTACTTAATTGGTTATTATTTCTTGGGTCTCTATTGTCGTTCCATGATATTATTCCTGACATCTGCACAATTAGAAAGCGAGCCATTAGATAGCATTCCTGAATTGCTGAATTTATCATTGATTTTTCAGTTGTGGTTGTATCAACTGATATTTGTACTGACAATCGACAGCATGTATCTATTGTTTGAATTATACTTGACAGAATGGGTACCTTTTGAATTTAAACAAAGTAATGCATTTCATAGCGATAACTCTGGTATAACGCTTCCCGAAGCATTGTCTATGGATAAAGTTCCGATAATGCAACATCTAGGCTATTTGGATTTAGTCACTTTGGCGCAAAAAGACAAAATGAGGAGAAGTATATTATTCACTCTGAGCCAACCTGGTGGTCATCCTTACAATTGGAATTGTATTCTTGAAAAATCTATCGGTCTCGTTAAAAAATTTGCCGATGACCTCAGTGCAGCATGCGTGAAAGTTCAGGAACCATTGACCTTCAATGTTTCAAGTACAGCAACAATGACTAGTACTAGTACATTTCAAAAGGAATATGTATATCATATGAGAAGCTTAGTAAGGCAAGAAATGCCAATATCTATGGGAGAAACAGATGTAAAAAAAGATGTTGACAATGAATTGTTTATTCAAAAATTTATAAAAACAAAATGGAACAATTTTCTCACATATTTGCTATCTAAGCCGCTTATTTTTTATGTATTTGGTGAAATAGAAGGCGGTAAAGTGTGTCACATCTTATTCAATGGACAGTCGGCGATTTGGGCTGCAGAAGCAATTTCTTCCTTAGCTGTGTTATCGTTAAGCGAAGATCCTTATGGAATTGTCCAAAAAGATTTACCGCTTATAATACATACTTTATTTGCATTAAAACAAGCTCTTGATAAATTGCAAAAGTCAAATATCATGATTAAAAGACAGGATGGAGATGATCAATTTATTAAACAAATGTTTAATTCATTACGAGCCGCAACGAAACGAAGTATTTACAGAATTATTACAAATTTTGAAGCTTATATCGGAGATCTGTCGCTAGAACCGACAATAAACGATCAACTAAATAGTTTTCTTGCTTATAAAGAATAATTCTTATAGTTAAAAAATGAATTTTTATGTACATAGTACCGTAACTTAAATCGCTTGTTAAGTATATGATATTTCTCGGTATCAAAATATGTTACAAAGATCATAAGATTATTTTTGTAATTACTATATTTATGTACAAACGATACTTGTAATTAATGCAGTGTTTTTGTATATGTATGTTCATATCTCATTAGGAATAATTCTTCATAAAAAAAAAATATACACGTTATAATTGTGATGACTCATTTGAGTTAAAATATGTAAAAAGCAATAAATTTAATATTTTTCAAACATTTGTAACTCTTTTTCACTACGCTGTAACAGATTTCAATGTACATTTGCAGTGGTCGTGTGTAAAAATATGTAAAAGAAAATAATTTATTTTTACTATTATCAAATATATTACATCTTTTTCAAAGCTTGTACAACGCTAAGATTATAAAACAATTTATCTCGTAGCAAGAACCAATTTTTCGATTGTGATTCCTGCAATACACTTAAATAATTTCTTAACGATTCGTTTTCTGTTATTACGTTACCGTGCCACTTTAAGAATACAGCTAAGTAAGCTTGCGACAATTCAAAGTCTACCTTCTTCTCCATCATATAATACATCAATTTCATAAAACGGAGCAATAAAGCATCCGACGCTTTTTCGTCAGCTGAAAGCGACTGAATTTCAAAATCTATAGAACTCGGGCTCATAGATTTTAATTTATCAATTATCTCTTTAAATTCGTTATACTCGACGGCTAACAAAGATCTGCTAAATAATGTAAGATTTTGTAATTCGGGATGTGTAATAAATTTCTGATTCGATTCTGTATTTTGAACATTCGAGAAATCAAATTTCAATTCCAATGATGGGATCGTAGGCAAGAAGAAAGGAGCATTTTCTGGAGCCTTTAGTGCTTCTTTCGGTTTATTCTTCTTTTTTATGATATCTATATTCAATAGATTCTGCCACCTCGAGTGAGCTAAGCCAGACATGGTAATTAGATCGTCATGAAGTTGTTCTGGTGAAACATATTCTGGCTCTGATTCAATAAGTTCATTCTCCTCAACATCATTCAGTTCAATGACCGTACCAGGGAGGCCGATCGTTGGAATCGGATCGTCCTTATGTATTGCTTTTAATGATATATGGGTATAAAGAGTTCGGTTTGACCATAAGTATATGCCAAGATTGCATACGTGTATAGTGGCAAGGAATTCTCCAGTTGGAGAAAAGTCTAATGATGTACATGCTTCTGGAACCTAGGAAACATTTAATTAATTTCTAATTGCGCTAAAATTAATAATAAGGAACATAGAAAGATAATAATAAAGGAACATACTTGAAAGACATCTATTAAATTTGAAGATGGAATATCCCATGTGCGGATTGTACAGTCCATTGATGCTGTTATTAACCATCTAGAGTCAGGATTAAAGCAAGCATCTGTTAATCGTCCTTCGTGTCCTTCGAAACGTCTAATGATTACTCTTGTGTCAAGATCTATTAATACTACGGTAAAATCTTCTAATGCTGCGGCTAAAAGTGAATTTTCATTGTGATGCCGTATCCATTCAATTGGTTCGTCCAATATCATTTTTGCAAGTGGTTCTGTATTTCCTAAAAATTATATTCAAGTGGTTATACCATACAATTCATAAACAAACATATTTCTTTTTACCTTTCATTGGCTTAAAATCCCAGAATTTTATATAAGTATCTTTTCCGGCAGTTACAACAAATTTATTTAAAGAATCCACCATTACTCCTCTTACAGGACCCTGGTGTGCCCCTTTCTCGCTACCATAACTAGCTCTATGAATTGCTGACTGTATATTAAATCTTTCTACATGACCAGTATTGTAACCAATAACAACAAAATTTCCACATTTTGTTAAATACACACTCGTTGCTGTAACATTACGATTGCCCTTAAACTTTTCTGGGAACAGCTTAAATTGGCCCATTTTTGCTTTATCGATAGACCATGCGGTAACTGTTCCTAAACCAGAATGTATTGCTACGACGTTATCCCATTCCTTTTCTCTTGTCGTTTCGGCAGCAAACTGAGTAATTAGTGGCATCAACAGAGGGTCATCAACTGCCCTCCCTTTCTTTTTTGCAGCTTTCCTATTAAACGATGCTCTCCCTAAACTCGAGTTCAATCTTTCAGAAATCATGGAAAATATTCTCAAGGAAGAATCACTTCCAGCTGTTAATATAGTCTTTCCTTCATCTCCATAAAAACGAATGAATGTAGGAGGTTCTGAATGAGCCTCCCTAAGTCTTAATAATCTGCCAGCACCATCAGCCATATCAAATATCCATAATTTCAAAGAATTATCAGGGGATGATGACACCAGCAGTGGTTCATTAGGGAGGTATTTTAAACCTGTTACTGCTCCATAATGAGCTTTATGAAGCTGACTTTCGACTTTACGCTCTTCTAAATTCCAGAATACAATATGACCATTCATGCTTCCTGTTGCCATAATTGGATGCTCATCAGTTCGAAAAGTGATAGATGTTATACAACCCCAGTCTTGCACCAGATCAAATAATGTTTCATCGTATTTCAAATTGTGTAATATAATTCTTCCATCATTCAAGCCTATTGCCACAACATCTACTGCAGGTGCTTGTTCAAGTACAGTTACTGGTTTGTTCCAACCATTAAATGTATAAATTGATTTTACAACTTTTATATTCCATAACTGCAGCTGACCCTGCTCACTTCCAAACAAAATTTTGTTCATGTATGTGTTTGGGTGCATTAATGCTGTTATTTTAAAAAGACTATTGCTGAAGCTAAGCTCTAGTATCAACTCTTCTGATTTAATATCCCATACTTTGACATCACTGTTTTCATCAACAGATATTAAATGTGGCCCGAAAGGTAGCAGGCTGTGTATTGTATGCTCATGACCTTTGTAAATATGCTTCAACTCTGTTCCTCTCCTCCAAGCATAAGCAACATTCTCACATGCAGTATAAATTCGACAAGCATCTGCTGCAAGACATGTAATTTCACCTGGGTGTGTTCCTGACACACTGAGTAATGCAAAATGTGAAGCACTATATGTGAGAAATGCATTACCAATACATGTCACTATAAGATTTTCATGTCGTAAATGAATATATCTTGTTACAAGGGGAATGTGATTACTGACATATCCTACTGCACGGTTTTTTACAAATATTTTACTTTGCACCATGTCTGTATTCTTTATCAAAAGCAGCGTATAAAATTAAAATGTTAGGTTAGTATACACAATCATGCCTTCATCACGGGCCATGGGTGCAGCCATATTAAGAACCATAGATTACTTTTTATTGAATGAAGGCAGTGACTACAGATACAAAAAGACTCATTGTCAGTCTTGTAGCGACCGCCGAGGAGTGCGGATCAATCTGTTAAATATAGATATATCCTTATTTTATTTTCTGCGTTTATTTATTTTGCTGCATTTATCTTCTTAATTTATTGAATAAACTCATAAGGGGGATGACCCCGATGTTTTTATTCCTTCTGTGTGCCTCGCCTATTATTTTTTCCTTTTATTTATTATTTTACCCCCATTTGTGGGTCTCGCAAGGATCAACCCTATATCCCTTATTTCCCTGCATCCCTTACATATCGGTATCCTTTACATTACTGCATTTTTTACATCTCTGCATCCCTTATATCCCTGTACTCCCTACATCCTTGCAACGCTTATATCTTTGCATTCTTTACATCCCTGCATCCCTGTTATCTTTATAATCCTGCAACCTTGCTATCTTTATAATCCTGCATCCCTTACATCTCTACATTCCTCACATTCCTGCTGTCTTTATATACCTGCATCTCTCCCATCCCTGCGTCTTTTCCATCCCGTATGTCTTATGTACCTCAAATAAAGAAAAATCGTGAAAAATGTAGTTCCTTTTTCCACCGCCAGAGGGCGCTGATTCGACATCGAAAATTTAGTTCCCATTTTTGCCGCTAGAGGGCCAAAATTCGTGCAAGGTTTAGTTCCTTTTTCCACCACCAGAGGGCGCTGATTCGACATCGAAAATTTACTTCACATTTTTACCGCTAGAGGGCCAAAATTCGTGCAAGGTTTAGTTCCTTTTTCCACCGCCAGAGGGCGCTGATCCGACATCGAAAATTTAGTTCCCATTTTTGCCGCTAGAGGGCCAAAATTCGTGCAAGGTTTAGTTCCTTTTTCCACCACCAGAGGGCGCTGATTCGACATCGAAAATTTACTTCACATTTTTACCGCTAGAGGGCCAAAATTCGTGCAAGGTTTAGTTCCTTTTTCCACCGCCAGAGGGCGCTGATCCGACATCGAAAATTTAGTTCGCATTTTTGCCGCTAGAGGGCCAAAATTTGCGCAAGGTTTAGTTCCTTTTTCCACCGCCAGAGGGCGCTAATTCGACATCGAAAATTTAGTTCACATTTTTGCTGACAGAGGGCGCAGTGATGGGATATCAGGGATTTGGTGTTATGAGGGATGGAGAGATGTAAGGGATGCGGAGATGTAAGGGATGCAGAGATGTAAGGGATGCTGTGATGTATGGGATGCAGAAATGTAAGGGACGCATAGATGTACGGGATCTATAGATGTGAGCGGTGCAGGGATGTTAGGAATGCAGTGATGTAAAGGATGTCGAGATGTAAAGGGTATAGAGATATAAGGGATGCAGAGATGTTAAGGATGCAAGGATACAATTATCGAAATTATTAAATGCATTTGATGGTTGCGTCAAACGTTACATCATTTAAAAAGTAATTTACTAAATTAAAATATTAATTTTGTACACCGATGAGGGATTAGGTAGAGGAAACACCATTAACACTATGTAATACTTTTTACAATTTTATTTTAGTTATTCGTTATTTTTTACAGTTTCGTATAAATCATTTTCATGCTAACATGTAAAAAATACAGTGTTTTTCATAAAAAGAAAAAGTTTGTAACAAACATATTTAAATCAAATAAACAAATATTCAAATTAATTTATTATAATCAGATATGTTTAAACAAAATCTATATAATGTGCAGTATCGAGCACAGTAGGCTACTAAAAATAGCGTACAACTTTGGAACAATTATACACTCTTATTTATTAGAATTTATAACAAAGGATGTAATTATCAAATTACAATATAATTTTTAAAAATGATCACGTATACTTTTTTGTTTATAAAATCTAGTATTTGATAAAAAATAGAAACTTAAACCTGTAATATTAATCCCTGCATCAATCATTATCTTCTAAACGACGATAACGAACAATATAATAAATAATATATTTACACTTTATAATGGTACAATGTAATTAACAAATAATAACGAAAAATAAATATACTATGTTCACAATTTACAGTTTGCAGAAACTACGAACTCTACTAATTCTTAAATAAACATTTACAAGATACACTGCTGATAAAGCTATGTAACTAAGTGTTTAATACAATCTAATGAAACACGAACCGCAGATATTTCATTATTAAAAAGAATTCTAAAAGCTACTCGTGAAAAGATCAGAAACTTTTCATACAGTCACAGTCTTTGGTTACAGGTCTTTCGAAAACTTTTCTCGTCCCTTGTGATAATTCAAAAGACCTGGAAGAGTTTTGGAAAGCCACGAAGAAATTGTTACCATTTATCAAGAATCTTCAAGTCGTGTGTCCTTCCATTTGGTACATGTTGACGAGCAAACGAGAAATTGGAATTTCACCTACTGTTTCGTGAAAAAACAAACGTTCAACCGTCTTCGACGAGACGGACTTTAAATATCCGACCAGGTACATTAACGTCCCGCTTCTACCTGGTTGTCGTAGATAACGGGATGTTGTGTAATCCCCCAGGATGCACTGTGCTTGATCCTGCAACATTTTGACCGATTCCGTGGCGTGGAGACCCTCCGTTTCTATAAACAAATTCATCGCAACAGCCTTCAATTAATTTCTAAATCAAAATTATTCATTTCTTAAAAATAGTTTCAAATAATTTCAAATATCACTCTTTTATTTATAATATACTTGTCAGAGTTTTGTTAAAAATTTTTACCTGGAGTAAATAATGCTACTGCTTTCATGCATCCACATTCACCGACATCAGGGGAGAGCTGTCTAAAACGGCATACTATAGCCTGGAACAATTTTTTAATAATTTACATTGTATAATCTGTAATAAATCAAACTTGGTTCAATTTATTTTATGTTGAAAAATTGAATGATAATTAATTCTTAATTTACCTGAATGATAATTAATTCTTGATTTATTCCAACTTCATCCTTTGAAAATCTTCCACGTATCTGTTCGTCCTCTAATAGCCCGGTAATGTCCCAGGATATGGACCACTGTGCTAGGTGAAGAAGAAAAAGTTGTGTCCAGGATCCTTCGAGCAATAATAATTGATCGTTTTTTGATAGCGACTGGAAAAGTGGTAGACAACAAACCCATCTTACAGTCATGAACAGTAGACGAGCAGTTGTTTCCTGAAATGTATAATTAAATTCTATCTTCGAGTGAAATCTTATTAACAATTTTTAATATATCAGCACTACGAACTTCATTAAAAGTTATTAAAATATTATTTTTAAAGACATAATTTATATTTGATTCATTTGATTAATAAAAAATGAAATCATTAAAGCTTCAGGTATTTTAATTTAATATTCATGTTAATTATTTTCATTTAAATTAAATTGCAAAATAGTATAATATTAATATTTTTCTAGATAAAGATATATAAAAGCAATTTCATTAGTTATTTCATTTTTATTTATTACACGTTTTAATGAAGTTGAAGTTAGAAGAATTAATAGAAAAATTAATTATATAAACATTGAAACAGACTAACATTTTTTACCTGTAATAGCTCCCGCGTGGGATTGGGATTTTGTGAAGTCCCCGTCGAATTGTGACTAGTTTCCGTCTGTTCCAGGGAATACTCTGTTTCCGGTTGTAGTCGTGCATTCCATACGAGTTCCTTAGAAACAAAAACAAATATGTGAGTGATGTGAAATGAGGAGATTTTAATAATATTAATATGTGACAGACATTGAAGGGAAATATTTTAACAGCCACAGTAGTACAAACAGTATATAGTCAGACACACAATAATATAAATTTTTAAGGACATTAAACAGTCATGTCTTTTTTAATTTCAAAGCTTGTATTTAGTATTTTGCATTATTAGTATAGTGTCAATGACACCAAATTTTTTTCCTTATCTTTTACTTGCTAACCCTAGAATTTTTTAAATAATATCTTTACTAAGTTCCCAATGACTACTAAGGAAATCTGAATATTGTTTAAAAATGTTCATCCTACAATTATTTTTTCAGAAGCGAACCTCAAACAAAGACACCCAAAGACTGATCACTTTCAGTCGAATGTTTGAAAGTGGGAGGATTTACCGGGTTGCTGTTATAAAGTTTGCAAAAGGGGAAACACCAAGCTCGAGCAAATTGAGCTGAATTACTTACCTGGCACTTCTCGGCGGACATTAGTATCTGAAGAAGGGGTGGTTGTGGTGCCAGGGTGACGGTTGGGGGTGCTGAGTAGAGGGTCGTGGTCGAAGGAGAATGTGGTAGAGCCAATGGTGCAGGGGATGGAGAGTCCTCCGGTGGTTTCTGTACCAGTGCCACTGGTCGTGGATAAGGTGTGAACCTCTGGTCACATCTGAACCTTCTATAAATATTATCAAAAAAATTGTATTGATTTTAATCAAAGAATAAAGTTGTAGAGCATGATTTACAATTAGTCTGTAATTTTGTATTTTATAATAATTTGTATGTATATTTAATTAAGGGATTGTGAGAATTATTTGTATATAGAATGGAAAATATAGAATTATTATATAGTCTAATTTCAAGTATTTTTTTTATTATAAATTTAATATATACCTGTGGGGTGATAGAACGTAAGGGGAGCCAAGACCAGTCCTTAATCGGTCATTGTGTATTGGTGTTGTGATTGGTGACTGTTGTTGGTGTTGTTTTGGCTTCCTTGGTCCACGCTCATGTTGTACTGCTAAACATCAATCATAACGAATTTATATTATCTTTGTGTTCGATTTTAATCTCCCAATGAAATTACATTTTCAATGAAAATTAAAAAAATTTAGAAACCAATAACTATGTCTCTGTGTTTTAATTTATATTACAAAATATTAGTTATAATTAATATTCCATAAATTTGAAGAAATAATTACAAGAATTATTTAATTTTCAATCCAAAGAATTACATTTGTACATGATTTTCTATAAACATCTTTCAAATTAAATCTCCCTTGTTTATCAAGAGCTCGGCAATGATTGATTCCTGAAATACTTTCACAAATGATCTCTTAATGCCAGAATATCTTCTTGAATAACTTCATTGATGTCACTCAAAGTCTTCTCAGGGGGAGAAAATAATCCAATTAAGTCTACTTATTTAGCTTCAAATAAAAAGTACATTCAAGGAAGGAGAACGCGGAATAAAATATTTTTTATACTCTGAGAATTTTATGAATGTCATTAGAATATTTTAATAACCCATTTAGGATCCCAAACTCTTAAGCTTGAGGTATCCAGAACCCCAAGCTGAGTGGTTATAAAATAACCACGAATATTTCAATTATCAATACCAGAAATAATAATAAAAAATTCGAAACAATAAGTACAATATTTTTACCCATTCTCAAGGATTAATCATTTTACCATTAACTCTCCAGATTAATTAATTTCAATATCCTTATATTTTGAAATTAAGCATTGTTTCCTTAATCATTTCATTTATCTCGAAGAATTTCTTTCCTACGATTAAACTATCCACCCTCGTCCCCCTGGAAAGAAAGCGAGAAACTAAAATGAAGAAACCAAATTCATCGAGCAAAGAGCGGGAATCACAAATCATCCCTGTAATAGAAGGTCCCTCGCTCGATCTCTCGGCGGTTTCCTATTAATATCACCTAAGAATTTAACGGTGGGAGCGAAAAAGTCCGCGCAGGTTGCGCGGAATTGAGTTTCGGTGTGGGTAGAAAACGGCCTGTTCGAGATGTACGAGATGTATCTGGGTGGGCAGGAGGCAGAGGAGAGGTGGAACGACGGTAAGGTAGGTAGGTCGACCAGCCTGTAGGAGGGTTGAATCCACCACGAAGAGAAATGGGGAGGGTGAATGCGGTGGCTGGTCGGGCGTCAGCTTCCACGGGGGTCTCCTTGGCGAAGCGGAGCTGAGAGAAAGAGAAGAGGATCCGAATGAGAGGGAGAAAGACCTCCTCTAGACAGAGGCATACACACGTTGAAATATGTAGAGGGTGTGAATGTATGTACATCGAAGAGGGAGAGAGAGATAGAGAGAGGGTGGAACTGCAACTGGATGGCAAGCACATCATCATTAATGAGGCTGAGCGGATAGCAGCCGTGGATTCCCACGTTCGCACTGGCGTCGCAATATCTGCTCTTCATTCTGTTCTACCATTGGCGGAGTAAGTATCTCTTTCTGACGACGGAATCGCGTGATATAATGATTGGTTACGGGTCAGAGTCAGAGGAGAGCTCGTTTTTGTTTTCAGAGCAATTAACCTTCCACCAGAGTAAGTATCTTTTGAAGAATCTCTTACGTTTTGCTTGATGTGATTAGTGAAATTGACGGGGTGAACCTTGAGAGAAACCCTTTGAAGGTAGGTCTTCAACTGGCGCAGATAACGTTTGGGAATTCTGACTAATTCATGAATATATGTTGTAAGAAAAAGATATTAGTAGCTATAAAAGGTAATAGTGCTTAGAGTATTATCTATTATTTTGAAATTAAAGTAATCAATATATTAGGGGTGAAAAATGTTTAAATGTTTTATGATCCTAAATATAAAAAAAAGTAGTATTTGTAATATTATTATTATAAAACTGAAATTAGTACAAATGATTCTATATTATAGTAATACATATTTTAATATAATACTATTGGTACTGTTATTATTAATTTTTAAATAACGGAGCGATTGAGCTATGCATGAGTAAAATGTTATTTAAACAAGTATATATTGAATTTAAAAAACAACAGAAGAATAATTAAAAATATTTTTATTATTTTCATACACGTATTATTTTTTTCCTTAATTTTCAGGATTCATTGAAGAGAAATAGAACGGTTTACAAGCACAAATACATGTATGCAATCAGTTCGAAAGTAAGGCGAGGTGAAATCCGCTTCGGGTCTGTTTGTTTTATCGACTAAATTGGCCGTGCATCGGAACAGGTACAAATATTATTATTTTCCGACAGTAATAATTGTTTTTTCATCGTAGAATTTCCTGCCAGGGGAAAAAACCAGAGAGCTACGTGCTTGTTTGCTTTGTAAGCAAAGCTCCTCGTATGCTGCACGCAGTCGAGATATTAAAATATAAAATTCATTTTTAAAGGCATTCAGTTATCCATTTTTTTGTATCATACACAACATGAATAACTTTTGTGCCAAATTTTTAAATTATCATAATAAAAAGTAGTGAGAAAGTACATGAAGAGGAAAAGACTTCTCTCATTATCAAATTTATATAGAATGATTAAATTTAATTTGTTTATTTATTTTGTTTTAATTATTGTACCATAAAGCATCATATTGAATTTTCTTTTAGAACTAAATTTTAAAAGTATATTGCATAAAATTTTGGAATATTCCTTCTAATATTTCACAGAAGCATTTTAGTTTATTGAATTAACAAAAATTCTTGTTTTTTAATATGCATCGTTGATAAAATATACAAGCTCTTTGATTCTGTAGCTTACGTTTTATTGAAACATAATCGGATATACCTTAAAGAAATATTCCGATAAACAGGAAAGTAAATATTATTGAATAAATTAAATTTGTTAAGCAATTTTATTATTTAAAATATTGTATGGTATTACTGAAATTGTATAATATTATAAATTCAGCGATTATTTGTGAGAAAACGATAATCCATGTTATGAAATGAATAATTCTTACGAATATGAAGGCAAATTTATTTTCATTATTATTGATGGTATAAAATAAATCGTTTTCAATATTTATCATGATTACGATTTTCAAAATGTTTTTTGATTATGTTTATTTAATAACAAACATTCAATTTGCATTTCTGCAAAAGCATTATGAAAGAATAAACGAGAATTATGATTTTTCTTAATAGATTGTGATTATAATTTGAAAATACATTCATCTAATTATTATATTCAATAAAATTCCTATATTCAATAAAAAAAAAAAGATACACAAAAATTTGCATGTAGAAAGATGTTTTTCGTAGTCTACAAACGAACTCTAAATTTTACCCCGTTCACCCTATGACGACGAATTCCCCGAGTGCACGTTTCTCTTAATTCGTCGAACAATTTTTCGCTCGGTCTAGGAGGGCTTAAGGGGACGATTTTCGAGTACGTGCGTGCTCACGATCCGAACGTCGAATGGACGCGAGGATTAGGATCGCATGCGCTGGAATGGACCGCGCCCTGTTCCCTTTTCATCCACCCACCTATCTCCTTTTCTCTTTCGACTGACTCGAACTTGCTTGCTCGCTCTCTCGCCTCTGTACTACATCCAATGCACACAGAAGCCACGAGCCACCGTAATACTCGCGTGCCACGTGTGATCTACAATACGAGTTCCCACAGTTGAGTGGCATCGGCCTGTGTATTCGCGACATGGCCGGGTTAGGCCTCCTGGGCCACAAGGCTTTGCGTTTTGTCATTCGTCACAGAAAGAGAGAAATTGTTGGTCATAGGCTAATAGAACCCAATAGAAAGCTGGATATTTGTAACGATGATGAAGATAGGGGATGAAGAGGTTGATGAAGAAAAAAGGAGCAACAGGAAGTGTCTTATATATAAGTGAAGAAAAGAAAAAAAAAATATATATATATATACTGATCGAATTGAGTAACCTCCTCCTTTTTCAAAGTCGGTTAAAAAGAAAGAATTGCACTAATTATTTTGGAAAATAATTAAAAATTTGTGCAAAGAATGAATTGAATAAATGTTATTCTTACAATTGCTAATTATTTCAGGAGTCAAAAAAATGAACAGTAACATATTTGAATAAATTATTTTAAAGTAAGTAATTAAAATTGAATCACAGAGAAATCTGAAGCTCTTCGAAGAAATCAATTCCATTTAAGCTCCACTGTGCTCTGAAAAAAAGAGCTTAACAATAGCTCTAGGAGTAACTAGTAAAGGTAAAATAGCAAAAAAGAGAGCAGTCAAAAATAAAGCGGCACAAGTGTACGATCGTAGAACGTGAACGCGCGATGCACGTATGCGGGAAAGGGAAATTCGAGTGTGTGCCACACTACAGCCATGTGTATGTGACGTTGCATGGGGTCGGTGCTCACACGGGCCATGGATCACGGGGCTCACACTCTCTATCCTGCTAAACGGTAAACCGATCTGTGAACATTTCAGCAGTCAGCGATCTCTAAGGCTAATCCCCGAGTGAGTGGGGTTGATACATCGACTACCACCACCATCAGCCTCGCTTTCATCCACCACCATCAGTATCGCCATCAACGTTTCCGTACCGACGAGTTTAACCGATTGGAGGGGCCAAATTCGCGATTCGTGTGTCGGACTCGGGTGTACGACGCGGCCGAACACGTGTTACCACTCCGGAGAGATTCATATGGAAGTCTATCATGTGTGTGCAAACATGTGATTGTGTGCACGCGTGTTGGACGATGAAAAGGGAGCCGACCCTATGAACCGATTTCCTGTCTTATAGAAAATACTATGACTGTTCCGATACATGTCAAAATAGCGGAAAGTTTGTGGGTGTTTAACGTGTTTCTGTATTGGGTGATTGATGAATGATTTTGCTGTCATTGATGAGTAATTAGTAATTAATTGTTATGATTGTCTGGGTAATTAGTGTTGTGAGATATTGTTTGTAAGATAGTTAGCGGGTAAAGAATTGTAATAATTATTGTGAAATAAATAATAGCGTATAACAATGTAATTGTAAGAGGAATTTATGAGAAATTAATATATATTCAAATTATATGATGAATGGTTACTTCT